AGAGTTGTACTATACATCCAATTTGAATAAAGATATATTGATTTCTGATTTCCGCGTATCATCTGAATAGTAGAATAGTCGTAGAATAGTTATCACACGTCCGCCCTCCCTCCCTTCGATCGTAGGTCTCTGCAATTCCGTCGGCCTAAGCACGTCTTAGAATACCTCGACGAAGAAATCACCCGAGCCAACACGCCTCTGCTTCCTCCCACACAGGCCACAATCACCAACACTACACAGCTAGCAAACTTGCACACTAGCTTAGCATTAGGCAGACACCGCACCCGTAGGATAAGAGTGCGAAGACCCGGTCTACGACAACGACACACGACACGCTATACCAGGACCTGGGTGTTGCTCCCCACCCCCCACGGCAACGGCTAACTAGAGCCGAGGGCCGAGTCTCAGAGACGCGCTCTAGTTGAGCCGACCCCCTCGGGTTCGAGTGGTCTAGAGGCTCCAGACGGAGAGGAGACTCCCCCCGTGGGGAGATGTAATCCGCCTGGAATACCTTTAAAGGCACTCGCTAATTCTGGACTTGAAGTCCTCTTAGGATCTCGCCGGCCCCAAACCCGGTGACGCTGTAAAGTTCAAGTGCGACCAACAGCATACACATTCAAAAAAAAGGTCGGCGAACCGGAGCGAAGCAATCTATAGCGGATACAATATGGATCCACGCGTGAAAATTTTGTAAGTCTTAACAGAATAGCATTGCAAGAGCCCTACCCAGTAAAACCAACATTCTATTCTATCTACTTAAATGCCATTACATTGTTCACAAAGTGTCACTGAAATGCCCATAATGGGTAATGTTAAAAGGCTCATTTTTCGCTGTCCCGAGGAAAAATGTAATATTAAAACAAGGATCCATTTTTATGCTATTATAATGTATGATCTAACTGAGGCACGATAAGTATTGTGTCTTATTTAGGTAGAAATAGTAGAAAATACCCTAAAGGACTATATTTGACATCCCCTGGCGTGTCCGCTTCACATTTTGAGACGTCTAACAGCAAAACACCAACTTATTAACGGAAATTAAATATATGTATAATGCGGTTCAAGCTATAGTATATTAATTGCTGATTTATGAAAAAATATAAAGTGTATGTATTTCTGATAGTATTGTTTAGAATTGAAACATAAGCTCTATCCGGGGCTAAACGATGATTCCACTGGCGCGTCACAATACTTCCCGTATACCTCTTGTAAAATGATCTAGGAGCACTCCTCTAGAACATTTTACAATCACTTTGTTGCGTGAGCTCTGATAGTGAGTCATATACTGCTGGGGTATGCTGTGCTGCTTGTTGATCCAGAACAAAATTACGAAGGTAAACATTTGATACCCCTGGTTTAGTGTCACTAGATTATTGATTATCCACCCTGACCACTTCAAAAATGTTTTTAGATTTTTGGGATATTTTGGTTGATGTTAACATAATATGTAACCATTGTTTACATAATATTTTATTCAATATGTAAAATAAATAGGTACTACTTTTAGCACAATCTATAAAAACGTCTACTATTTTGATTCCATTGGTATTGATCCCCTGGGTATTTTATCAAGGTAATCAACGTTTTTTAATTTATTTTGTGTTAACTCGTATTAACTCTTATAATTATACTTATTTAACACGTTTTTATAGCTGATCCGGCTCATAAGTACAAAATAAACTATTATACAAAAGGAATCTGGGGGCCATTCGCCTAACGGGATTGCTTTGGAAAACGCTAACGCTTACGATGTCATTTTGTTATTTCTGACCGCCGAAGGTTTTCAAATACATCACGCTCATTTTCTTTAATATTGTTATTACCAATGCAAAAGAAAAAAAAGAGCGCGAGGCATTTGAAAATCTCAGGCGGCTAGAAATAACAAAATGAAATCGTAAATTAACAGGCTGATTAGCTATAGAGTAAACATTTTATTTTCATACATATTACTATGATTTTGATTCCCCTGTCACACAAAATGTAACTTGATTTATCTTGGGAACCAGTTGCCTAAAAGTGATGCCTTGAGTAGGCACTTTATTTTATTTTATTATTAGCATAAATATGCTAGTATACCTAAGAAAAAGTTAAAACAGTCATATCAATCTAGGTATATTTGTATAATAGTCAAGGATGTATTACATCTAAGTTCTGTCGAGGTTAAAAACTACATTCATTCATTAGTTTAGCGATAAAGAGATCATAAGCGGATGTTTCTGGTTTTTTATAGCGCACGAATGATTTGCGGCTTCGCCTTATCGAAAAATGAATTAATGTTTATAATTATATCGAGACGTGAAAGTAAACGGTATTTAATTAACGAGGTGGTGGGAGGCGTAGCGATGTGATAATGAAGATTTTATTATGGAGCTTATTAAAAGGACAGCTAAGACTGCCAGATGACAGAAACTTCTGGGTTATTACACACATTTTTCATTTTTATTACACACATCTAAAGTTCAATCGATTTCTATATATTTTTTCCTGTTCTTTGCCACAACAAGAATATATAGTCTATGGTTGCCGCCTCATGGTAAGCGGCAACCATAGACTATAAACGCTTGCTATACCAAGGCTATCGATACTCGCGCCGTTGCTTTCCTTGATCTACCTCCTACCCAGATTGCCCTATATTCCTCTCCACCAGATCTGAGTATGAAAATTACTGTAGACTATATAAAATCGAGCCATACAATTTAATGGAAACAATAAAGAATGAAACAGCCACTTGCTTTGTCAAGCATGTCGATACAATAGTGTCACAACTTAAGCGCGTAAATGGTACATAACTCATGTGCCGCCGCTATGTGTTTATACTTTTGGTCACATCGACCAAAAGTATAAACACATAGCCGCGGCTTTGGATCTGTATCCAATTGCAGAACCAAAATCGACCATAAACACAATATAAGTGTACAAAATATATATATTTGCTCCCTTATCAACATACAGAGTACTATATATATAACACTACACATAAAAAAACCCCTACCCAGTGGAGCTCTGGGCCCTGACTCTCCGATAGGTATGTAATGTTATTTTACTGCGGTCTTCTTTAAGGAGGTTAATTCACCAGACGGGCGCCCCAATTCGAGCGGCAAATCCGCATGCCCTACCGCTCATTAATTTATATAGAATTATTAATTTAATATATCTACACGGGGTAAACCCAATCACACAATTATGTTTGTAAGAAATGCGCTTTCTATTATGTAAAAAATATCTCTATTTCCCTTGGTCACGCCATAACTCAAAAACGAATTCACCTCTTCCTGCTTCCTCCATGTTTTTATCCAAAGTTTTCAGTTTTCTATTCCTTTGTTAAAAGTTCTTACGAAATATCAATAGGGAAGGAGCGCATTTTTTTATTCAAATTCTTATCATGCAATCAGTCTTCATGACTATGAGCAGAATAGGTGATGGGTATCACGTGTTGGGTCTGACGCTACATCCAGCTTCCAACTCATATCTGGTTCAGCCTTACCAGTTTTGGTTACATCAGGTAGTTGGCGACTTTATAGACGTTTTATGTAATCCGGCAGTGTCAATAGGCTAGTTGACCCTTTTTGGAAAAAGATTTTAAATGGTTAATTAATGTTCTATTAGACCGAAAAAAAATGTATTGTATTTTTTTTAACCTAGAAAGCTAGACTTTTCATGGACATACAAAAACGCTGTCGGCCATTTTAGTCTATAGATTATCTATGCTATGACGTGAACTGTGGTAAACAAAAACTCGTAAACACGTAGAAAATTACTTTTAACTGAGTTTATAATAAAAAAAAACTTGATTTCTAATAAATACCACGAAAAATAAAGTAATTATCATTACTGTATTGTACGAGAATATAAAAACACATCCTTGAAGACTCCAGGAAAGTTGTGGATTAAAGTGCCGAAAGAAATTAACCTACGCAACTTTATTACACTTATTCATATGTTGTATCAGATTTATGTTTATTACTACATTGTAATACTAAATGCACTGTACTTACATAGATGCCTTGTCGTTTCTCTGCTCCGCAGAGCAGAAATCGGGGTTTAGTGCAACAAATTCACCAACCATCAATGCGTCAATTCTTGGCAGATTTGTGCTTTCTGCTTTCACAAAGCCGGCATCCATAATTAGTTTTGTCAAAAAACTGTTTTTTTCTTTCCTAAAGTTAAAAGTGTTTTAAGATAAATTTTGTCAGACGAAAGAATCCACCTACAGTAACACGCGAATGACATTTAGTTGTTTACCACAAGAGACGTCAAAATCATGGCGGATGTGGCGAACAGCGTTTTTAGTGTTTAAAAAATATAGACTAAAAAATATTTTTTTAAATTAAATTTCTACAGCAATCTTCTGCTTTTATGAAGTGAAATCGATATATTAAGGTTCCTTAGACTAAATACTTTAAGAAATAAACATTTATTTAATACAATTCGACATGAGTAAACTAGCCTATTGTGTAGCTAGCTGGTTAGCTGGTATTTGTCCAATGTGTGACTAATTTCCTATATGGCAGTGTTGATATAAAGATGTTGATGAACTTCTGAGATCCGCACGAACCATGGATCATTTGAAATCAGCTTCAGGATATAGTTCTGCGCTCTTTGGATTTTGTTAATATGGGATTCACTTGCTGAACCCCAAAATTCATTTCCATAGGCCCAAATGGCAAAAAAATAAGAATATTTTAACACACAACCCGAAATGTGGCGCTAAATCGAGCTTTTTTTTATCGGCAGAACAACGCAGCCTTCGCAGATTGTCGACTCAGCATCAGCACGGATCGTGTGTTATTTGAGGAGTGCTATGTTATGCTGGCATCATTAGACGATAATACTGTACCATGATGACCTTAGGACTTTATCGTCACTATTCTTTTTTTTATTCAGCCCTGAAGAAGAAGAAGTTTTACTCATGAATCAACCATAACTAATAATTCACCATAATATTCCGTTTGTAGAATATTCGGAAAATTTTTACTTAAACTTGATTGATAGATTTCCTATCAAGTTTTCTTCGGATTATCTTTCATGTGACTTGCGTGGTACAAGTCTAGGGTTTTAATTCCTTCTATGTTTGCGTGTTTCATCAACACTCCAGCTGCTGATTGTATCTCTTGGCTTCTCATCGTGGTCTTCTTCCCATACACCACAAGTCTGCTGGCTTTCACATCTATCTTCTCGAGCATATCGTTCACAAAGCTGATCATTCTCCACATGCTCTTCCTCGTTATCTCCATATCTGATTCTTGCGTCATCGAACAAAGTAGTCTGTATATTTAAATCGAGAATGGCTCGTAATTCTTCTTCTTCATCTTCTTAGCTTTCGATATCGGTTACTCGATTGGCTTCTCCATCGACTTCACAGCCTTCTTGGGCACTTTTGGTGGCGCTATCTTCAATCATTGCTTGGGTATGCTTATCAGTTTTTTTTTAGGTTTTGTTGTATTAATATTTCGTTATTCCTCATCGCCATCCGGAGGTTTTACTCTATTTTTTTAATATGTTTTGTATTTTCGAGCTAAGATAAAAGAATTTGCATTCGAGCATGTGATCAGGCGAGCTTACTTACTTATATTTTTGGTGCAAGTATATGTTTGATTCCAACCTACGTAAAAAGTTGTTCTAAATCACCGTCGGTCTTTTATAATTTGTGGCGGCGACGTCTACTTGCCCCCACAAATAACCAACGGATGGAAGAAATAACCACTCGCCATCTTCAAGAGATGGCGCTACTGGCGCTGCGATCAATAAGTATGAAAGCCTACATCGCGCAAGATAAATTTGGAGGCAAACACTTAATATATACAATGCCCGACCAACAAGCTCGGAGGATGATCTGCCCTTTTGGCCGTCCAACAAATTCAAAAAAAATAATTTCTAATGCAACATCATATTCATTAATTAGGTATCCAAATGATTTACTGCAACAAGTAGCAGTTAAGCTACCATTGACTACTTATTTATAGTGCTTTAACATTTATCAAGATGTAACATCACACTGAATCACAATTTGTGTACAATCAATCATTTACTTATCAATTTATATTTTCATTAGTGTGTTATTTAGATAATGCCCCTTTAACAAGGATTATCAGTTTAGGCAAAACTCATGACTAATTTTTTTTATTAAGAAGAAAGTACACGTGCAGATTTTATGTACATTAATAAAATATAATATGCTTAATTGACTATAAAAAGATAAAGATGAGTTGCTGATAAAGATAATAAAGTATTTATCTAATTTACTTAGAACATAAATAGGTATTGTAATAATCATACATCATCATAAGATTGAAATGCCGCATGCACTTTAAATTGTACGAAAACCGAGCATGTCAGAATTTAATATGTGGTGTAAAAGCATGGACCCCGGTCACATATTTCAATTATGTCGTTTTTACAGCTTAATATGCCATAAGTACTAAGCTAGAATTTTTTAAACATTACGATTTACGTCCGGCACCGAGAAAAGTGACAAGTAACAATATATTAACGTAAAAGGATTAACATCTGTCTGTCTTTTGACACGCGAAGAACATAGGGGAAACTACCAAAGCATTGGCGCTCTTCCTATTATTGGCACTTTTGAGTTTAGTTCGAAAAAACCAGGAAACAATAGATTAATAGGAATAATGCTGCCAATTCTCAAATTTCGTAACCATACTAGGTTTTTCTTTTTCATATGTAACGACCTTGAATAATCTATTGTCTCCTTGTTTTTTTCGAATAAAACTCAAAAGTGCTAATAATAGGACGAGTGCCAATGATTGGGTGGTTTCCCCTACCTACATTTGCGGTATCTTTTATGTCTGTGGCGGCCACCGTATATCACTGGAGCGTTAACTACCCTGCATTCCATCATGATCCATCCGTTACTTCGTGGAACTTAAGAACCTTACTCATCGATAGAAATAGGTTTACATCGAAAAGTACAAACTAAACCCCGCGTCAGCCACTCTACGACCACCATCTACCGCCGGCTCGTCTTAGAAGGCTTTCCGCGGAACTCCCAATCTTTGTTAGGCGAGCCTTTCGGAGAGCATCGTTTGTAGTAGCTGGGCCCACCGCCTTAAACATATGTGCAACCCTCTGAAAGACTGCCCCCCACCCACAAAGTACCATGGCTTACATGGAAGGCGCTAAACAGGCTCAGGTCTCAGGTTGGTCGCTGCAGATACAACATGGTCAGATTGGGAATGCTGCGCGACAACACAACGCAATGTGTTTGCACGACGGCCCCACAAACTGTGACTCACCTGCTGGCATGCCTTGCATGCCCGTTCTCTTGTTCCGAGCGTGATTTGAGGGACGCGACGCTCAGAGCTATTGACATTGCTGCTCACCGGGCAGTATCTCTATGAGTGGAACCACGATACGGAAAAAGATAAGACCAAAAGAGTTATTTCATTGAGGTTTTCAGCAACGTGGCGATTTTTTCCCCTGCTGAGGGGATTAAAGATACTTTAGATACTAGACTTCCGAAAGCACTTCGGAAGTCTAGTATCTAAACCCTCTGAACTCAATTGCATCTATCCATAATTTGCACGGTAGGTACCAGTGTTTTGAGTAGATTTCCGTATGAAAATTATGACTAATTTGCCCTAAATGTTTAACTGTCCATTAATTATTATTATCGACAATGATGAAACTTTTAGTCTTACATACAAAGCCTTCGTGTTCAGAGCGTGTATATAGTAGATCTACCAGATTTTTACTCATTTTTTTGTATAAAAGTATAATGATGCCGTCATATTCGGTTATTACAAAAGGTAGTAGACATAACAATTGTATTTATCTGGGCGCTTCCCCTAATAATGTACTGTCCAATTATTTTTATCGAAGCCTGTTTATGAAGCAAGTATACTTCATATGAGTCTTAGCGTGTCTAACGTAGCGGCATCTTGAATATAGGCTTTATTATTATACTATTAAGAACACTCAGTATTATATTGTGTACACAAACGTGGTATTGATTGTACGTGACGAAAATTTATCTTGAATACTCGTTGAAATATTTCTCGATAAAATATCATTGTTTCAAAATAATTTAATGTCGTTGTTTTTTTTTTCTAATTGTACCTAATGGACTTTGAATTAAAACTATCAACTAATACGCTAAAAATTTACAAATTATTTGTACCGTGACTAAGTTAAGCTTTTCATGCTGATAATGATAATAAATTATTATTACCAAAGAACACTCTGTTAGTACCTAAGGTACATCGGCTAGGAGCTGTAAGAATGTTAGTATCTGGTATTAGTTGTGATTTTCAGACCCATGCCTGAAACACAGGTATGCCTATTTCGGGGGGGATTCCCACCATGTGCCTGGGAATCCCCCCGATCGTGAGGTGGCCTGGCTAAAAACCGGGCCGGCCGGCGGCGGCTTGGTTGATTCCCAGTAAGTATCCCACGCCGCCACCGCTGGCAAAGAGGGCACATCCCGGAGTTTTAGTGGGAAGGGCCTCCCCATCCCGAGCAGCCAGCCCTAGGGTTGGCTGAGTGGGTGGGCGGGAGGTGGGGGGAGGAGTCCCACATAACCTCGACGCCTCAGGCTGTTGTATAAGTACAAGTTACATATCTTTTGTTATTTCTAAAATTCAGTAATGTAAATAAAACAAGTTTCAACGGTATAGGTGCATAGATTTATTTATTTATGACGTTTCGCATCCTTTACAGAAAAACAAAAAGAGAAAAAAAACGGGTGAAAAGCATGCGAAACGTCATAAAAAAATAAATCAGTGCATCTATACCGTTGAAACTTGTTTTATTTAATGAGTGACGTGCGTGAAAGAGCTCGATGGCGCAGGTGGTTAGCGCGTTCGGCTGCGATCTTTTAGTTAAGCAACTTACGCAGTGGTCGGTCATTGGATGGGTGACCAAAAATTTCTATCTCGAGTTCCTCCGTGCTTTGGAAGGCACGTTAAGCCGTTGGTCCCGGTTGCATCTGCAATCGTTAGCACCCGCCAATCCGCACTGGGCCCGCGTGGTGGGTCATGGCCCAATCTCCCTATTCCATCCATAGGGAAGGCCTATGCCCCAGCAGTGGGGGACATACAGAGGCTGATGATGATGATGATGTGCGTGAAAACCTAAGAAAAAAATATTCAGTAATTTATTGTTAACTGGAATTCAATAAACATTTATTATTATATTATTATTATTATACCATGCACTCGTAATCCTAAAGTACGCTATATCCTTAATAGATGATCTATACAAAACAAAGTCTCGCCTCGTGTAAGCATAAATGTTTTAAATTATTTTAAAAACTTCTGAACGGATGTTCGTGCCGTTTTCATTATGAGCAATACTACTAGACCAATCTATGAGTTATAGTTCGGCCGCTCAGAGAATGCATTTCTGACAGATCGTATCAGTTCCTTATGGTGATAGCATTAGAGTTAATTTTCGAACCTTTTTTTTATTAGATCTAAGTGTCGCCGCACACGGGCCACACGCCACAGCTACAAACGCCGCCACAAGAAGCTAGAAACGGCTACTAAAGTGGCTGAAGCGCGCGACAGCGGCCGACTAAGGTAGGTAAGGGAGAGAGGGGTGTGGAATCGCGCGAGTGACGTGTGGCGGCGTTTTGTATCGGCGCATTAAGTGGCCGGTGCGGGCCACAAGAAGCGAGCAACGACGATTTGTAGCGTGTGGCGGCCACCGGCGTACCGTGTGTGGCGAGTCCATATAAAATGTATGAAAACTACAAGAAATATGCCGGTGGCGGCGTTTTGTGGTTGTGGTCGGTGGCCCGTGTGCGGCGACACTAAAGTGTACTTTATTCTATCGCCATAAGGAACTGACACGACCTGTCAGAAACGCAATCTCTGAGCGGCCGGACTATAGTTAACATTTTCACGAAAGGTTTATGTGTACAATACAAGACCGAGAACAAAGACGGTTACTCACTGACCGTTGCTTATAATCGTAGAATATTATAGTTTTATAATGAACCCTATTAACTTTATATCTTGCTATATATAAAGTTAATAAGGTTCATTATAAAACTATGCTTGCTGTTGAGAATGTTTAAAGTAGTTATGGTGGTTATTCAGCCGATATTAGGCTATCTAAGAATATCTTTAAAACTTGTTTTAATTACGGTGTAAGAACTAATCAATGGTATATAATAAGCACCTAATACAAAAAACTTTGTTCAGTTTCAGTAAGTTACCCAAACGGACAAGACCCAGAAGCTTAATTTCTGTTATGACTATAAATGAATATATCTAGATACTTACTTTAGTATTCTAGCACTAAACTTAGGACAACTTATGTAGAGTCGAAATTATAAATATATTATTAATTTGTAGTAAAATTTTATTGACCTAGGATATAAAAATCTAGCAAGAAATCCTGAAAATAATTATAATAAAACAACATAAGTGTTCTCCTAATGGTAATGATAAACCTATTAAAGACTATTAAAATGAATTTCAAAGAAAAAATACAACATATTTGGCGTGGTAAATGGAACTGCAGTCACTAAATTGTCATTTACGACTACATGCCGACAAGTCCATTAATTAATTTAGTTAAACAGTGTAATTATATTATATTTTCGTATTATGTCTTATTCTTGGTATTCGCAAATTAATATAATTATTGGTTTCAGAAAGCGCAAAAATCAGTTTAATAAAACTCAAAAGAGGATTTACTAACATGGGTGCGACAGTTAAGAATTTTTCTAACAGTTAATTTTCAAAATTACTGTTTCGAGGTCAGTCATTTTTTGCGTCATCCTTATTTCCTGTCGAATTCACGCGGGGGGCCAAATACACATAGACATAGCCAACACATCGCGAGTGTTGCATCATCGGAAAATATCTCCCATTCTTATCAATCTGTAATAATTTTGTGGCGTGTGCTAAAAGTTGACAATCGGCGGTCGTTTATTTCTGGCACCGATTTACTACGACGCCGACGCGACGTCACGTTATCATACGAGATGCGTGGTTTTTTTTTACCGTGAGATAGTGGTAACCTTATGTTAGCTATAAAACATTATAATTACCTACTTAGGTGCGTACAATTGTAAACTCTGTCACAACTACACACATCAAAAGTGTCTAATCAACATATATTTTTGCAATAACTTTTCTCCTGATTGATATTAATTAAAATTTTCTTTAAGGATTCATCAAATAAAGTGTTTTCGTTTGTCACAGTAACGATAAACCAAGTCACCTTTGCATTAATAAAGAAATTTGCCATTTTCCTAATAAAGGGATTTTTGACATTTGAACCACTAACACAAAAGTTCGAAAAAAAGACTGAAATAACAGTTTTCTCTAAAATTTTATTGGGTAACTTAAACAATTAATAATCCGTATTTCTACCGCGAACACTAACAACACAAGAACATCGGTTTGGCATACTCAAAATGAGTTCATCCAAATCACGCTGTGGAATGGCCGCCCATGTTCGTTGCAACAACAAAAAAAGGTCTTCTTGCGACTGGATACCCTCCATATTCGGCAGAGCTCTTCTCTGTAGCATATCCCATGCATGCTCAATCGGGTTCAAGTCTGGCGACTGAGCAGGCCAGGGCAGGACATTGATGTTAGCTGCGGCGAGAGTCTGTCTTACAACTCTTGCGGTGTGCGGTCGTGCATTATCATGCATTAACTGAAATAAGGGACCGATTTGCACTTGTAGAGGAACGATGACGTCTGATACAATCGTCTCAGCATAAATTTGAGCGTTGAGGTTGCCTCTGATCCAAATCAACTCAGTTCTTCCGCCGATCCAAATACCCGCCCATACCATGATGGTTCCACCACTATAAGGATGGACTTCCTGGCAGGATTTTAATCGCTGTTGGCGTCCAGGGGTTCTCCAGTGTCGTATACGTCTTGTATCCGGTCTCATACCAAAACGAGACTCATCAGAAAAGTACACGAAACGCCATTGTTCTTCTGCCCAATTTCTGTGTTCAAGAGCCCATTGATATCGAATCCTACGATTGTGCATTGCTATAGGTGGTACCCGTAGCGGTCTTCGGGAATGAAGGTTCACTTCATGCAAGCGGTTTCTGACTGTTTGGTCGCTAATTAAGTTCCCTGAAGAGTGATGAAGCCTCACGGCTAACATCATGGCGGTTATTGTTGGAGCTCTTCGAGTTAAGATTTGAATGTATCGGTCTTGTCTCCGTGTGGTGCAGCGATACCGTCCTCCATGGCGCTCAGCCACGGTACCAGTGCTTCGGTATCGTGTCCAAAGTCGACTGATAACACTCTGACTTGTATTCAGAGCTAAAGCCACAGTACGTTGCCGGGAACCAGCTTCTATCATTCCCACGGCTCTGAGCATTTCTTCCCTGCTTAA